GGGTGGGCGGTGGCCTGGAGGCCCACGGGCTGCGGTTGTGCCTGCTGCTGGCAGGTGGCCACGGGAGCCTTATCTGGCTGTGCTGGTGGGAGGAGGTGTAACCATGGCATCCCACTGGCATCCCTGAGGCACCCCCGGGGCATCCCAGCCGGCTCCCACCACGCTCTGTGCTGGACAGGTACAACCAGCCACCGCAGAAGTCTGCCACAAAGGTTTAGGTTCATTTTTATGGGCTCTGTTTCAAATTTGAAAAATGTGACCAAGTCACTGCTGCACAAACCACAGTTTCTTGACTTGGTCAGTTAAAATATGCATGACAGCAGTTCAACTTTTTGTCCTGACATTCACTTTAAATCAGCTAAAATAATATAAGTATCGCACCATCGTTAATAGACATTCAAAAAATCTCAAGTTGTACTTCACTGAATCTATATGTAAATAAACAAACACAGTATCAAACTCAAGCCCGCACTTTCTGAATTGTAATGAAAACTAACAAACACCATATACACACTCTGACTTACACGCACACACTTATAATGGGGAAAACGTTGGTCACTCTGAAGCACAAATACCTGGAAGGAACAAATCTTCTCATTAGAAGTTCTGCTGCTTAACTGTTATTAAAAGCAGGGAACAAAACTGTTTTAAAAAAAGTCTGGTCTGGGTAAAAGACTGCAAATATGAAAAATGCTCCATCACTGCGGAGTACTGTAATAAGATAATCCAACATACTCTGTGTACCACTGGTAAGACATCACCATTGATCTTGCCCAAACATGTAATGAAAAATACATAACCTCTGTAAGAAACTGCGGAGGGAGCTGCAGGGTGCCGGGAGCAGTTCGGTGTGTTACTGAGCCTGAACATCACAGTAATTATGTTCAGCAGAGTTAAATGTTCTCCCGATGAACAGGAGCACAGAACTGGTTGTTCAAACCCAGCCATTGACTTCAGTCACAGTTACACCCCATAGAAGTTTTGGCATTCTGAATTCAGTGACACCGACATGACAAATATTTTAATAATTTTCTGTTTATTTTAATGCACAAATGTTTTGGATCACAAAACAGCCTCGCAAGACAGACAGATGCTCTAATCCTCTGTTAGGCAATGATTAGGTATAGTTATGACTTCTTACTTTGTACCTTGGAGCTATGGGAACTTCTGTTCTCCCAGAAACACTGGCCCACCAGCCCCAAGCCTCTTCCGTAGAACACACCAAGAGGGACTTCTACAGGCACACTTCCAAACCAAGACTCCCATAAATACCACAGTTGTCCCAGAAGGAAGGGAAAAAGATCCTGGCATTTAGGTGAAGAGGATAGACTTAGCCGATTAATATAAATAGGTTATTGTTATCCTTTTATTAAATATTCGAATTACAGTCAGGACGCAGGTCCAATCCTGCCCAGAAGTAAATGCCTGCTTTGAAATGCCCCTTGCTGTGATTTCTTTCATTGGCAAGTAAGCACACTGCAGAATTTGAAACGCTTGGGGAATTAGTTGCAAATGATGGTAAACTTGAAACCAGTATCTTCTTTGGGATCTGCAATGCTACCTCATGCACACGGGACTGTCGAAGCCATTATTTGACAGAGATTATAACCAGGGGGTTTGGAAACGTGTGTTTTGTCTCTGCTGGTACGCTGCTGTGCTCACTGCTCCTCTGGCCATGCACACAGATGTTGATGGTGCTCATTAATCACTGAGTATCACCAGGTCTCATGTGCCATCACCCTAGGTTAGAAACTCTGGGGTCCCTCATGACACCGCTTCACTTTTCCATGACTAATATAATTTGACATTTAATTTAAAATTAATGTTGCTTTCCCCATGTAACATGTCACCTGTTCCTTTTTGGTATAATAACGGTTTCAGTTATCCACAGGGCATGCATGGTATTTTGTTTCAGTCACAGAGCACAAACTGGAAATGCAGATATTATTATGTTCATGTTTCCCCTTTAGAAAATTGTAATTTATGTATGAGTAAGGGCACAAGATGATGATATTAGTATTTTATTTTATTTCATAAGGTAGGTCAGGTTTGGTAACATTCCTGAAAATTTTTCTGCCATTAAAAATTATAGTCTAGCTACTTCTAAAAGGTGCTTGGTGATGTCACATCAACCATGGGTCCTGCAGAAGCAGAGAATCAACCTACGGGTGGGGAGTGGTTGAAGTAAATTCAGGATGTTGAATTTGTGTTGCATATCTAGTTTCAACCTATCAGAAAAATTTGTAAATTGTGACTGAAGCACCCTACAGGCATGCTCCATGCTCCATCATGAGCCATGGGGCAGACAAGATGTTGTCACCTCAGAATATGGGACAACTATCAGCATGAGTACTATGCCCCATTCCTCTGGTCCCAAGGACCAGATTTGGATGCCTTTTCTCGCACCCGGAGTACTCACTGGGTCACTAAACAGTCCTCTGGAAACCCAGAAATGTAAGGTTTCTCCAGAGATTAAAATATCACAAGTTTGGATCTGAGAGTGCTGCACTTCAGTGGAGGTACCAGCTGCCCATTCACCGCTCAGCAGACACTGCTGGAGAAGAGAGGGTGCTGTGAGATCCCTCTGTGGGTAGCACTGACTATGGCTCTTTTCTGTAAGAATGGATGAAACCATAACCTGCCTATGATACTGCTGGACTCAAATGGTTCCTCTGCACTACACCATAAAGCAGCAACTGTCAAGAAGAGAAATGATTGATGTAAATCACATATTTATGATGTTAAGATTAAGCAGGACATTGGACTGTGCTTACTGGTTTGCAAAATGGCACAATATAATAGTAACAAATAATGGCTGATGGATTGCCTTAGCCAAAGATCCCACAGATGTCAGCCACTGAGTATAACCTGATTATTTCATCCAGCATAAGAATGCATATGGGTAAAGGAGGTAAAAAATCCATTCAGGACAGAAAGTGAAGAAAGTTTTTATCTATTTAAAAATGACACGAGAGCTTTAGTTACCCAACATGTAGTAGTTACCTGAATGGGAATGTGGTCAGGAAACCTGGATCATGAGATACAACCTATTTTCACTGATACAACCTGAAATCAACACTAATCTTGCAAGACAGTAAGTCATCCACTGCCAATGAAATAACTGGGTGAGAAAGAGGATCTGGCCCTAAAAAGCAAGAACATTTCTCATGGATCTTGTATTTCCCCTTTGATCCATCCAAGCACCACCCAAGCTGGATCCTCGACACGTGTGAGATGCAGTGAGGCAGAGCCCAAGGAGAGTGGCCAAACAGAGCTATGCTCACAGCAGGCAAGCGGCCATGCACACCCAGAAAACCAGACAGAGAAACCATCGGTTGCCTTCTGCCAGACCTGGTCCCTGGCTGAGCCGGGGCTCTGCAGTACACTGCCCTTACCTCGCACATCCCAGGGAGCTGGCTCACACCGTGTTTGTGGCTGCCTCCCCACATTGTCCTTAAGTATATGATTAATGAGGAAAAGCTCCAGCAGAAGCTGGAACAGGAACCCAGCATTGCTACTTAACACCCAGGGTAGCATATTTTCCCTACGTACCAGACCCACTAATGCATGTTTGGCAAGGGAAACAGCACTGATAAATGGCTTCTAGCAGGTCTGATTGCATTTGCTTACCATGGTGATCCTGGCACTGGAGTGGATGCCACAGGCTTGTTGCCGTTCGATGTGCTGTCATCCTCATTTACTAGTTTAAAAGAATCCTTGAAAGACAGATAGAGATTAGTCAACAAATAAAGCCAATGCAGAAGACTGTTATTGTTATACAAATCACACTCTTCAACGTGAAGTGGATTACCCTTATTGCCATTATTCCACAAGTGGCCTTATGAACAACCAGCTACCTTGAGAATAGCCCAGATAAACGGGAAATAATAAAAATGCCGCCCCACTTACAGCAATACAAATGAAAAAACAGCAGATATGGTTTTGTCCATGCCAACAGCTCATTTGTGATAGCGAGTATAACTCTGTGTATTGCAATATCGAGGAGAGCCACCTTGTCAGAAACGAAGTGTGGGGAGTGATGCCCATCCTAACGAGGAACAGGGTCAGGCAGGAGGGTGTTCCCACTGCTGCCAGCCCCCGGGTCTGCGCACAAAGCAGCAGTGCATGCAGGGGAATGGTTGGGAAAGGGCCAGGGAAGGCATGTGGGTGGTACAGGTGGCAAGAAAGCACTTATACCAGTTCCAGCGCATGAGGCAGCATTTGGCCAAAGGGAACCACTTGCACGAGCGCAGCGGGAGCAGCTGAGCGAGGCTGGGGAGCACACACTGCTCCGCAGAGGTCAGCGCCCTTGCTGCCATCACTGTCTGCTCACTTCTGAGCAGTTTTTCTGGGACTCCCCAAAGACATAACAACACTGGCAAGAGCAATTCTCCCCAGCTTCAGCCAGCAGTAACCTACCCCGAGACCCCATGGCAGGGACCCAGCTGTACTCCTGTCCCCACTGAACCCTCCTGTGACAGAGCTGGGCCGCTCTGCCTAAGGCTGGTTGTACGGATGGAGCAACAGACAACACAGCAGGGTTGTATGGTACAGCTGATAAGTACAGGCAGTGTTTTACCAGCTGAAAAACAGCCATTTGTTGTAGTAGCTTATGGAAATGAACTCTGAGGGGGAGGTGTGGGAGGAAGGCAGTGATCTAGCTCAATGTGGTATCAAAACACAAGAAGCACATACTTAATTAAAAAGTAATAAAGCATATGTCCAGAGGTCTTCATCTTGAAAGTACTTTACAACTTAAAGCTCTAAAGAATGTGCCCAAGTACCAACACAGCTGCAAAAGTGGGGAACACCTGCAGCGCCTGGTACGCAGGGAAAGTTTGCTTGCAGAGAACCTAAAGACGGCAGTGTGATAGGAATGTGCCAAATGAAAATAAACTGAACAACAGCTCAGTCCACAGGTCCTCCTCCTCCAGGACAGCGCTCCTGATGCAAAAAGCACGTGTGCATGGAGCAGAAGCACAGGGGAACAGACACGCCTGCTCCAGGGCTGCAGGGTGGCTTCGAGCATCTTCTGCACTGCTGCTTTCTGAGCCTGAGATGCTCTTCCACACCCCCATACTCAGATAAAGGTTTCCCTCTTTTAGCTTTAGTCATTTGCATGAAGTCTGCATGAGCTGTGCAGAAAGCAAATATTTCCATTTATTTCATAGAAGCTGGAAGTATGATTCAGGTCCCTTTCCTTCATACAATAATCTAGGCTTTCTTATGAAAAGCTAATGAAGTTACACACATATAGTATTACCCACCTGTAAGTTGCACATACTATTTGCTATCCATTTATGTTCACCTGCCAATTTTATTTAAGGACCTTGCAATTATCTGTAAAGGAGGGATACAGTGCCCAGCATAGTTAAATTAGTAACACCAAAAAGGTGAGGGCCATGAAAAAATTCCTCCTTGCACCAGGGGCTGACGTTACGATAAGTGACACGAGGTCCAGCGAGTTGACCCTGCTCTGAGCAGGGCCTGACCCAGCTCCACAGGTCCCTGCCACCAGTGAGCTTGAGAAAATCAGACACTCTGTTTCTGCACTTCAACTTCTAAGTACATGATTTTTTTCCCGGGCTGTGTCACACCTCCACATGCATGCACACACAACCCATCGACTCGCTTCTCCTCCAGCACGGGGAGAAAACCAGCCACAAGCATCCCTCCTCTGATACTCTGACACTACAGTGACAGAGCTCCTATAAAGCACAAAGATAAATTAAACAGATAGCTCTGTAAAATCAACTGTAGGAAACAATCCCGTATCACCAGCACAGCTCCAGCCAGAGGACAGTCCTTTATACTGACTCTGATTTGTGCAGTTCAATAGTTTAAAGAGGTTTTTAAAAGAAGAAGAAAGTCCATCGCAGACCTTATTGCCATTGCTATCCATGGGGGCACTCTTCCTCTCCGTGTGTAAAATCAAGGTCGGTGGGCAGGAGGATCTACTCGATTCTTTGCCATTATCTGTGAGGGGAAAGGATTTCTTTTTAATGTACAACAAATACATTCCCAACAAGCCAAAACTGGCAAAGAAAAACCAAACCACTCCCTGTGGCTCCAAGTCTCCTTGCCTCACCTCCTCCTCCTCACTCAGTCCTTTATTCACATGCCTATGTGTGTGCTGAGGACCATATCACCTTTCTAAATACCACGCTGTATTTTAATGGGACATATTCATATACTTTAGAGTGAGCCTTTTATCGCACTGAGCTTTTTGTCCTGCTTTCCCTGAACCCAAAACTTTTTTCCACAAGCGCATCCCCTACTCCCTGGGGGCACAGCCACCCCCCGGAGCAGCAGCCTCCCCCCGAGGGGCTCAGGACCGGCCAGCCCCCTCTCCTCCCAGCCAGGAGATACTGGGGTGCTCTGGGTTAACCTCCGTAGGAGCCGCCGATGAGTGTTTAATTGCATTTCCACTGGAAGCAGTTGTAAGAACATGTTCCTCTCCTTTACAAACAGCTGTCTCCATCCTGACATGCTAAACACTAGAAAGTGTTTCTACTGGCTACAAAATGCGTACGTCTCGGTAACAAAGAGTCCATAAGGGAGAGTAAGGAAAGGCAAAAATGGCAGCAGGCACAAGAGACAGGCCTAACAATGAGTAAAAAGTAGTTTTCACAGTAAGAAATATTAAAAAATACAATTTTTTTAAATTTTTTTTTTTTTTTAATCGTCTTGTCCTTCCACTACTCTTAAAACACTTATTTGGGGGTTTGAGCAAAGGTACTCTCTAGTCACGTGGCCCATCCCACCTGTGGCAGGGAGGACAAGGTATATTCTTTGTAAGTTAAGCAGTCCCAGGGAAAGCGTACGCAGCCCCTTCCCAATCGTTCTTCCCAACTACAGCCATCGCCCTTGCTCAGGCGGAACAGAGCAGTGACAGCAATGGCTCCGGTGGGGAGCACGTACAGCTGGTGACATGCAGCCACCCAGGCTCCATTACCTGGTGTGTTCCTCCTAGAAAGAAAGTCTACAAACCCTGATCACAGCCCCATGCCACAGCACTTGGATTTCTACCTTAAAGCCTGCAAAATTTTAGGCAGAGTTCAACAACAAAAAATGATGACGTTTCAACTCATTTATGATAAAAACTCCATAAGCACTATAATCAAGCATTCCTGTGCATACGCGTCTGACGAGTTCCAGCACAGCAGTAAAATTACCAAAGGAGGCTCAAACCGATTGGGAATGGGGACCACAATGATCCATCCCTGCCAGCACGCCTGAGTGCCACGACTCTGCACCCACAGCCCCCTGCCCCAGCTTTGCAGGGAGGCACCCACCCTAAACCCAGCCACCGCGCACGGCTGTCGCGGGCACCCTGGAGAGCTCCAGTGCAAGGACACACTGCAAATATAGGGTAATATTACCAGTATTAAGAGAGCTATAACAAGGACAAGCCACGACATACCTCACCCCTTATCCATCTCAAGAGTTACGGAGCACCTTCTGTCTGCCAAACGGACTAAAACCGTGGTAGAGTAGCTTCAAGAAACTATTTGCAAGCACTGCTTTTCTAGGACTGCATATTATATAGCAGATTCACATGTTAAAATACCATTCAAATAATTTTAAAATTACTCAGACTACACAATAGGCATACATGTAACAGGAACTACACCGAGGAAAAGGCTGGAGGCGCAGCCATTTGACTCTGCTTCACCGTGGAATATATCACAATAATAAAAATTTAAATATATGTCATTTTTCTCAGAAGATGACTTACTCAATTTGTATGGGTAGTGAAAAAGAAGATTTACAAACCATATCAATTAATTTCCATATTAAAGGAGCTAGGAGTAGGGAGCAGCTAATACATATCAAAAGGGTCTCTAAATTTATCTTTCTTCACAAGACATCAGTTAACAGGGAATCAAAGCGTTACCGGGCACGTTTGTCTTTGAGTGCAATAAAGTCACACACGGCTTCAGCCTGCCTGCGAGCACCCACCTCTGCCTTCCCCTGCTGGGCTTCTGGAAAGGTGAAGGAAATCCCAGCAGAGTCCTCAGGAAGGCCAGGGCCATCGGAGGGACAACGCAGGGACCCTGCTGGGATCAGCCCCGCGAGCAGCAGTGCCACACGCGAGCACCTGGAAAGGCAGGAGGCGGCTGCTGGTGCTGGCAAACGGTGGCACTAGCCATGCTAAAGCCCCGTGTGAGGAAAGCAAACACAGAGAAAGGACACCAGAGGACCAAGGATGCCTCTCTCAGTCACTGCTCTGTGAGATCTGGAGGCACAATTAATGCACCTCACTTAAATTAAACTCTGCTAATATATTCTCCAGCTCTAAAACATGGCAGAAGAAAGACAATGTGCAGTTTCTTAACTGTTTCACAGAGGTATTACATTATCTTGCCCTGTGTTTTCCCATCGCTCCAACTCTCCCACTGCTCTTCCTCTGGGATATCCTTGGTGGCTTGTTCTCTGCTCCCATGCCATGCTACGAGTCAGCCCTTGGGCACTGCCCTGCGTGGCACAGGAGGCACAATGTGTCCTGTACAGCCTCCCTCCTTTCTGACAAGGTTTTTAAACCAAAATACTAGCGTGGCTTCTGGATGTATGTTTGTAGAGGATGAAAGGAACCTTGAGACATTGCCCTCTGCAGCAAATGTTCCTTTGCAAGTCATTGATTTTGCAGCAATTTAAAGGCAGCCGGAACAGCCCAGGTTTGGGATGGCTTTTGCAGGTGCACAGCTGGCTCTGACCACGTTCTGCAGAAACACACAGCTGGCTCTGGCCACGTTTTGCAGGCATACAGCTGGCATTGGGCTCATCAGGGCACCATGGCCGACCATGTGCTGGGAGCCTTTGAAGGCAACGCTGCTGAGTGGCGCGGTACGTCTCAGCATTTCCAGCTCTCGACTCTTCTGCCCTTGCCATGAAATAGTCCCTGAAGCAACAACTCTGGAAGGCCAATTAGCTGCTGATGAAACAGCCACAAACAAATTGCTGTTTGGATTCTGTCACTCGAACACGGAGCAGCTTGGGACAAGCAACATGCTTGGGAACCTATGCTTAATGGACCTAGGATTTATTTTTCTTTTTAATAGGGAAATCACATCAACCCCTCTTCCAGCTCTGCTTCTTTCTCTTTTTAACTATTTCTCTAATCCCAGAAAAAAAGCTTTTTATTATTATTAGAATTATCACGTTGGTTTAAGAAGTAGCCGAGGTCTTTCATTCATGTATATGCATATGCACACATGCATGAGGAACAAGAAAACATTTACCTAGCTGATGTCAACTTTTAAGTAATCATTACGAGCATTAATACAAATACATAAGTGTCAATTGGCAGATTTAAACAAACTGTTGCACAAGTGAAATTTGGCAGAGGAGTTTCCCGCAGCTGATGCTGAAGAAGTGAAACAGGAGAGAGAGCCTAAACCACAGTCGCACAGCTCCAGGAGCTCCGGTTTGATGCAAGGGAAGGTATGACATCGGCATAATTGCTTTTCTCACAGCTGCTCTTACCCTGCTCTTTAATAACTGAAGATTGGCTTGAAGTACGGGGCACGGACATACTGGTGCGGACCAAGATGGGAGGCTCTTGTGCACAGGCAGCCGTTCTCACTCCTGTTTGAACCTTACACGTCTTCGGCATGGAGACACTCTGCGCTGCCAACACCCAAGGCAACCTCTCTTTTTTTCCTCCTTTGAAAAGCTCCCTCACAGCATCCGAACAGGAAAGCTGAAGCCCCAGGGAGGGACTCGGGTGCTGTAGCTTTTGCTCGAAATACAGCATCACTGGCGCAGCACATGTAGGTGAACTTCTGCAGCACGCAGTTCATTAGGCATTCACACGTGAAATATACTTCCACAAAATTTTGGACAGTCAGCACATATAAAATAAGATGGAAATAAAGAAATTAAAATAAAACAACAAAAGAAAGTCCTGAAAGTCACTGTGCATGTCAGGAGTAATTTATTTTTATATCTATAGTTGAACATTGTGACCGTTCTCCCGAAGTATAATGTCAAGAGAAAAATAATTCAAGCTTGTGTTTCCCGCCTCGAGCTCAGAAGTCCCCAGCTGACCTCGGGGCAGGAAGCGCTCCCTGGGCTCAGGCTCACTGTGCTAACGAGGGATTCCGAGCTCCCGAAAAGCAAGGCGGTGGAGCTGTAACGGCGGAGGTGGGAGGAGGGCTGCGGGGAGCCCGTGCCGCTGACCCACTCTGCTTTCCAAGGAGGATATCAGGCAGACCACCGTTAGGACTTCTTAGATCATTAAAGATTTCTTCTCCTCTGCACACACTGGAAAAGGACAGCCAGCAGCAAGACACATGTTTACCCTCTATTGGCAGCTGGCACACGTCTTTGCTCCGGTTTACTCTTTTCTCATTAATCAACCTTTTTTTCCCCCCTCTTCAACTTAAGTGCATAAAATAAACTGCAGCAAGACAATTAAGCCACCACGACATATTTCCAACATAATCACGCAGCTTTTTTTGCCCCTAAACTTAGCAGCATAATTACCAACGATGTGTTCCTGCACTTGCTGTAACACTGCCGAAGGATGCGCTGGAGACAGGAGGATAAAGATATCTGATTAAAGAGACTTCTCTAAGGCCCCACGGCAGGTAGAGAGACATGAATAATTCACAGTGTGAAAAGTAAAGGTGAACAGCAAAACTATCTTGGGTATATCACAGAGAATGTAGGTGTATGATCATAAACATGTTATTAAAAGCAGAATTGAAGAAGAGGGAAGAAGAGGGAAGAAGAGGGAAGAAGAGGGAAGAAGAGGGAAGAAGAGGGAAGAAGAGGGAAGAAGAGGGAAGAAGAGGGAAGAAGAGGGAAGAAGAGGGAAGAAGAGGGAAGAAGAGGGAAGAAGAGGGAAGAAGAGGGAAGAAGAGGGAAGAAGAGGGAAGAAGAGGGAAGAAGAGGGAAGAAGAGGGAAGAAGAGGGAAGAAGAGGGAAGAAGAGGGAAGAAGAGGGAAGAAGAGGGAAGAAGAGGGAAGAAGAGGGAAGAAGAGGGAAGAAGAGGGAAGAAGAGGGAAGAAGAGGGAAGAAGAGGGAAGAAGAGGGAAGAAGAGGGAAGAAGAGGGAAGAAGAGGGAAGAAGAGGGAAGAAGAGGGAAGAAGAGGGAAGAAGAGGGAAGAAGAGGGAAGAAGAGGGAAGAAGAGGGAAGAAGAGGGAAGAAGAGGGAAGAAGAGGGAAGAAGAGGGAAGAAGAGGGAAGAAGAGGGAAGAAGAGGGAAGAAGAGGGAAGAAGAGGGAAGAAGAGGGAAGAAGAGGGAAGAAGAGGGAAGAAGAGGGAAGAAGAGGGAAGAAGAGGGAAGAAGAGGGAAGAAGAGGGAAGAAGAGGGAAGAAGAGGGAAGAAGAGGGAAGAAGAGGGAAGAAGAGGGAAGAAGAGGGAAGAAGAGGGAAGAAGAGGGAAGAAGAGGGAAGAAGAGGGAAGAAGAGGGAAGAAGAGGGAAGAAGAGGGAAGAAGAGGGAAGAAGAGGGAAGAAGAGGGAAGAAGAGGGAAGAAGAGGGAAGAAGAGGGAAGAAGAGGGAAGAAGAGGGAAGAAGAGGGAAGAAGAGGGAAGATAAGGGAAGAAGAGGGAAGAAGAGGGAAGAAGAGGGAAGAAGAGGGAAGAAGAGGGAAGAAGAGGGAAGAAGAGGGAAGAAGAGGGAAGAAGAGGGAAGAAAGATTGATTGACTCCAGAAGCAGCTATGGAGAAGAGAGAGTAAAAATTTGTTTTGCAAAGGTATTTAGAGGCCAAACCTCCATTAACCTCAAAGGAAGTTTAAAATTTTGATTCTAAATGTTTCAGAGAATTGGATTTACTTCAAGTGCACCCATCTAAATACTCAGCTTTTATTATCCCACCACTATCTCTGTAGATCAGTTCTGTCTCTCCTCACAACCTTATTGCTTTTTTTTTTTGAGATTAGCCTAAAAAACATATCTGACTGACTCACAATTCCTCCTCTGTTGCTTCTGGCTCGAGCTAAGTGTGGGATTTCAGTGCCGGCTATGTCAGCTTGGTCCATTCCCTGCTCCCACAGGCAGGGATCCCACCTTCAGCCCATCATCACTGCTTCAGGGAAACAGATCCTGCTATTGCCTGCACACTGTATTTCACCCTTTAATTCGTGTCTATTTTCTGCTTTGACCAGTTTCTCTGTGCCCTGCCAAACACTGTCTCCCCTCTTAGAATAAGTCTCCTTGAGCAGCGCTTTTTTCCTTCTGTAGCAATCTCTTCCCACTCACCCCTTTATTTTTCTGGACATTTGTAACGGGAACAGTAGAATAACAAGGACAAATTCTTTGTCTACTGTACATTACCATGGGCTACATGCCTGGTGTAGAGTTCAAGGACAAACTCATTTAATTGTTTGACTTTTCAGGCACAGAGCCAACACTGCCCAATAGATGTTTTTTGCCACTACCCTGAAAATAGTTTCTTTGTTAAAGAAGGAGAAGGTGAAAAACCCCTACTGGCATATTCCCTCAGACACCATGCAGGGTGGGCAGCGTACCATCCCTACCTCCCAGACTGCCTCAGTGCATTCATTTCCCATAGAGCTGTACAGGCAGGAGCATCGCTACGAGCATTGCTACCAGCGTTGCTGCCCACAGAGCAGCATCAGCTCCCACCAACACCAGGCACAGCACAGGGCCCCCCGTTCATTCGCCTCCTCCCTCCCTGAGCACGAGGCAGCTGCTGTTGCATGCTCATTACCAGGGTATTTCTATCCTCTGTACCATTTCTCAGCCTCTCTCTCCAGCTGTTTCTGCACCTCTGAGAGCTGGCCCAGGCTAAGCCGGGCTCTGAATCAAAGACCTTCGCTGACTCTTGCCGACCTTCCTTCCTGTGCTCTTTACATGTGATTCTTTTTAAATATCAAGATCTCGGCTCTGATCTTCAAGGCACTTAATGATCTGAGCTCTGAATATCTATAAAATCATGCAGAGCTCTGTGAGGGTGGTAGTTATAGTTCCACCTCTCTTGTACCTACAGTAATGCAAAAAAATCGGATTTGTACTTGAGACTGGACTTTTCCAGCTTCCAATACAAAAATAAATGCTACTAGAAGCCAGGACCATTGCAAAGTTTACTCCTTCTGCTCCAGAAATACAGAAAATTTTATTAATTTAAAAGTCTTCAGAGAAAGAGGAGTTTACTGTTGTCATGAGCAAAATCCAAATGTGCCAAGCCTTGCTGAACACCCAATTTTCTCTTTAGAAACCAAGTCAAAGAAAGGCTTATCTGTATTGCAAAACGAAAGCATGCCTGTAATGCCATATAAAATCTGTATGCTGGCTTAATACTGCCACTGTAGGTATTGGCAGCAAAACATGGTGGCACAGGCCTCTATATGTATGTTAAAGCACTCTACATACTAGATACAAGATTCATGGCTTAACGTGTTGGTATTCTAGTTGTCTGCCCTTCTAGTCCTCCCTCAGAAATGACTACCCCTGTGTTTCAGTGCTCCTGGGCTGGAGACACTCAATGAATACATTTTTCAAGGTCCAGAGCATTTAAATTAAAAAAACAAAACAAAACAAAACAAAAACAAACTTGGAGGATGGTATCTTCTTATAACATCTCTCCACCCTAACTGTCCACCTGGCTAACGCTGGTGACTCAGAGCAGGCTGGCGTGCTTGAATTTGCCACCCAGGCACTAAGAGGTCCCAGCACCAGGTCCTGCTCTGCAGTGGCCAGGAGGCAGCTCAGCCCTGGCCCCCCACCACCCGCTGACTCTGGGTCCTGGTCAACCACGGGACTTTGTCAAGTTCCCAGCATCTCCTAACAGCTTCCTAAAGTGCATGTTTGCTTTTCTGTGGCACTTTGAGACCAATGTGTGAAAACACCTTTATTACTGTCATTTGCTCTTAATTATGATTCCTACTTTGTTTTTGCCACTGGAGATAACGGCAGTTTGTAGCAACCTACAGAAAGGAGTGTGATCTCCTCAAAAACATTAAAGAAAAATCCATACTATACTTGAGTGAAACTATCATTTTTCTCTTAAATGTAGTTGGCAGCAAATCAAAGATGACAAACAGAGCTTCGAAAATGAAGGTGTTCTGTATGTTCAAGACAAAGCTGGAAACAACAATATAACATTCATCGTGTTTACATTACTTGTATGCATATAAAAATGTAATGATTGCTCGTCCAAAGTGATGGCCTCCCAACAGTATAGCCACTTGATTTAGGCAACCTATCGACCAAATGTCACGCTGGCCTCATTGTCAGAAGTCATCTAGTCATCAAAAGGCTTTATAGAGTTAAATAGTCATTCAGCATGATGGATAAAATCAGGAGTGTTTGTGTTTTCAAGTCTGCCAGTAAGAAGATTATGACATATATTTGATATGAAATACATTAGAGAGCACAATTTCAGTTTTCAACAAGCAACAAGCTGTAGATCAGCATGACCCTTGCACAAATCTTCGTCTTTCTGTCCCTGCATTCTTTGAACAGTTTTAGTATTTCCTCCGTCTCACTTACTTCTGACAAGAAAGCAAGGCAATACAATTCTTGGTGACTTTAAGGAGTATGCAGGTCTTCAAGCACAACTAATTGTCCAGGTGATAAAAGAAGCAGGTGTTTACCAAAAGCAAACCAAACCAGACAAGAAACTTGTCTGATTTGAAAACTGAAGTATGTCAAGAGAAACGTGTATGAACTTTCCCTCAGTTTTAAGGTGTCTGCGTCATAAAATTTTCAGCAATTTCCAGACAGAGCTGGAATACTCAGCAACATAAATTCAATCAGAGGATCTTATTGAAGACAGGTACAGCAGCAGGCAGACCTGCTTCAAAGGGAGCCTCCAGCTCCACTTACGGATTTGCCTAGCACAGCTGACCACAAAGTACTTTATGAAACTTTTATCTTAGCCATGGGTAGAGCTGGTGAGCCTGAGGTACCCACGAAGGAAACGGCTTAGCTGGACAAGTGAGAGCTTCTATACCAAAAATCTGTACATGAACAAACACAGTACAAGTACATTCATTTTTAGTACACAACCCTTCAACACCTCCACAACCCTATTAATCCCTAGGTGTGAAGGACCAGATAAATCACGCCTGAACTGATACCTAGTAATTCCTGATCAACACCATTTTTTTCCATGAAACATGGCTGGGAAGGTGCGTTAAGGACCCCATGGTGCTGCACAGCCGGTGAGGGCTGGCTGGCTGGCTGTGTGCACCCAGGTCAGGCAGCGGAACAACCGGTCCAGCCCCATCACAGCATCTCACTTCCATTAACAGAGCTCCTGACTTCACAACGACAGTACTGTAAGAGGAATTTCACATTATTAGGAAAGACGTTCACAATTTCCTATGAAAATCTGATCGCTTTTTGATCGTGATTCGCAACGCGTATATGTGAATCTAAATAAAGCCACAAGACTTCCTCCAGCCTTTGGGAACAGCATTGCCCCTCATCTCACGACAACACACACATTTACATGACAGTGAATAAACCAGTTCTATCACACAGTACAGCATAAAGCATCCTCGGAGGCTTCAGCCAACGAGCCTTCATGGAGCAACTATCCAAAAGATAACCTCATTATCACTGTGATGCTTGTGAATACCACTGGCATGGGAAATTAAAAGCCCAAGGATGTTTCAGAAAGTTGCCTTTTGTATCATCAAATGCAAAGCTACTGCCAATTGCCAGACCGAGTAAACAGGACCTGAAATACTCTGAATACGCTCGTAATTAGCTAAAGCAAATGTCATAAAATTTGAGCCAATTTTTTAAGGGTCCCCCACTTCTATGCAGTACGGAAAGCATGGCTTGGTTGGAAGTATGCAAATATACAAGATATGCTTCAGTAATATAATCAGTATAAACATAAACACACCTGTTAATGTCTGATCCACCAAATTGGTTGCCATGAACGTCACCGCCGGTGCAGACACAGCAGTTACCCGGGTGACTTGTGTCGGCATCAAAGGACCCACATGAGCATCCATTCTGGAGGCAGAACCTGCATTCAAACCATAAGGAAACCTTTTTTTTTTCCAGTAAACAAAAATGTCTTTAAAATAATCACCTTTTTTTCAGCCTTATTTCACAGAATGCTCTTTTAACGTCCTGCTAAACATTTCTCTCTTACCCATTTGCATGGTTAAAACAATAGGTTTTGTGTTTAGTTGAATTACTGGTCTAGTCTGGCCATGACGTCCATTGATTCTCAGCAAACAAGCATCGGTGGAAATTTTAAATTAATAAAAATGTGAGCCTCAAAATAAGAATTTGCAAGGATAAATTAATGCTTTCAGAACAGATTACAGCAAGATCAGTTTTCTTATTTGAGACTAAATAACACACCTCTAGTTTCTACTGTTACTCATCACAAACTCTTTGTGTCCCACTCCATCCATGGGAAATTATTTTGCCGATAATTTAAAACAGCAGCTTTATCCAAGGGAATCACAATCTGCTCAGACAATTCACAAAGCGGAAAATCACTAAATTGCTCATATACGTTATTCATGATAAAGTAGTAATCCAGGTTTGCTGCTAAAACTATGCTAATTAAACCAGGGTACTTAATCCTTGAGAATTCGTGGCTATTGCTGAATTTGAGGTCAAACCTTGAACATTAGTTTTCCGTTAACTGTGCGCGAAACCTTTTTTCAGAAACTGAAAGACCCATACCACATCATCTCATTTCAGACGTAAATTCAGGCGTCCCATCAGCAGTCTCCATATCCTGTTTACAAGCCACCATTTCAAAACTGACCTGGCAGTAGGAACGTATCCCTAGTTTAAGGCAGACTCTGGGAATAACATCTTATTTCCCAAGCACGATCCGAGCTGCAGAATTTACTGTCCTTTCGTTTCACCACCTATTCTTGTGCTATCAAACAGTTCTCATCCCAACTCCTCTGTATTTCGCAGTCACAGGGATCGTTTCTGGAACCTTCACTCTGTTAGAAAAAACTCACTCGCACGCTATAAACCTCTTCATTGATTTTTGTTTCTCAGATTCCAGGTGCCAAAGCATATTATTAAACGTAACTCCCACCAACATGGGGACACTGGTTGCTTTTTTGAATGCAACTATAACAACATTTTATCATTAAAAAGGTCACTTTTTCTTCCTGAAGAGTGGAGTCTTGGGTATTGCCTGGGCTAGCAATAACATAAGAGGGTACTTCCTAATTGCTTTGAGATGTGGACCAGCAGAGCTGTCCCAGCCGGGGCAGAGGTACCTTCCCCTTCTGCAGCCAGAGATGTACAATGCATCCCGCCTACAGGCACTTGAAAAGGCACAATGAATTCAAAAGTGGGGGTATTTTAGCAACAATAATAACGATGGTGCTAATTATGCTAATGAAGCATGCATTTTGCTGTCAGGCAGACATATATTCTATTGAATATAATCTGAATTACCTGTATGAGTAAGAATATGCACCATGAAATTCACGGTGATTTTTCCTCTTCTCTCCTCCCCACCTCGTCTCCCACCCCAATGACCAGGAAAGAACAGTGGAAGCCAGAAACTCTCCAAGAAAAGATTAACATGAGTATTTTGTAGTAGATTGTTCAAATGAAGAAGAAAGTAGAAACTGGGACTACGGAAAGCCTAAAGAAAATCCAGTTTACACCATTCAGAGACTGCCCGGCAGCATGTCCATGAACCCACCATCTGTTTCTGACTTCACCCTGAATCCTTAAGCCCAGAGGTTTCTGTAATGTACAAAGGTCTCTGGTGAAAACTGAAGATAACAGTGCCATTTTAAAGGGCTTCCTGGTGGTCCAAGCAATGTTAAACATCTGCTTTTGCCCAATGGGAAGCAAGAAGTCCACAATTACTACTGAAACAGGGAAAGCCCATGTCTTCTACCTGGACCTGGTGACACTTTCTACGGAAATACAATTCCAGTGACTGCGGGGCTATTTTCTTTCCTAGCCAGCATGTTTTCAAAGCTCTCATTTTAATGCATTTTCTCATATCACCAATCACGTGTTCCTGAAGCAGACTGGAATTCAGGCTATCACTGGACTTTGTGGGATTCACCCTCATAACAGGTGAAGAAGAATTTAAAACATAGTACATAATTTTAATCAAATTCCAATTTTTTAATAATCTTTTACAACAACAGAAATGGATATAAAATAATACATCTTATGAAAGAAAACATTTTATAAAATTATAAAGTCATATTCCTATAAAGGGTTAACATGGCTAAAGAACCACTCAGGGAAAAGTAAAGCTTTGCCAAAAAATAATCTTAGGAAAAAGCAGGAGATTCAGGAAGCTTTAGGAGTTGGGGCCAGAACACCAAGTTCTCTGAATGTTCAATAATGCATTTGCATGACACCAACTTGCTATTAGCTAGGGTGTCTTTACAGACATTACTTGGTAAAGGATGATTTATTAATTCTAAATGCAAATGAAACACCTCAGAAAACCATGACCCACATCCAGCAAGGAAAAAAGAATTAAGTTTCCAAATATGCTGAATGGAACAACCGGGAGGACAATTGCAATTTTTCCATATGAACAAGTGGAAGAGGATGATTAGCCCCAATCATGCCAGTGGAACCCCCCATTAACCTCCTCTTCACCTCCTCCCCTCAGAGGACCTCCACACCCTCATGACTCAGAGCAACGTATAAACACAGCATCCCCTCTTTTCAGGAGCTGGCAGCATTATGCAGCGCAACCCCTGAACTTTGGGCTTCACGGACGCAGGATCAAGCCTCAAGAGAACTGAAAAGTCACCTTAGATGAGTATTTTGCAAACAAACACCATTCGCACCATACACCCAGGAACATTTTCATGTGCACATATATCCATATGCACAGGAATAACCACCGGCCCCACCGCTATTGTACATCAGTATATCACATCCCTACATTTTTATTTTGGTGCCCTCCTCCTAAGAGGTTTGAAAATCATAAAAACGTAAGAAGCACATTTAATATTTTTATGGGCTTCTTCCCACACTTCAGCCCCCACCTGCACCTGCAGTACAGCCCTCCTAGGACAAGGATTAATTAGGAAGCCACCATCATGCCAGCCAGCTAGTGGAAGGGGAAGAAAAGAGGGAACGAGAGGGCAGTGCCAACATCTCCCAGGCCCAGCAGAGGTTCGTACAGGATAGACAACGGAGAAGACCACATGTCTCAAGGCACATGTAAAAATACATACACAAATCACAGATTTTCTTAAGCAACAACTCAGGTGTACATGTACATGCATGGTGCCCTGTCTGAACTGTTGAGAGCCCTTCATGTTCTTGTGGCTGTCTAGAACAAAGCGAAACAGGTACCAAGAGATGTTCCTAGATCATTAACATCAACAGAGCAGGGGGAGGAGAGGGGAGAGAGCAACAACACCTCTGTGGTCCACTAACTGTCCCAACAAAGCAGCTCTGTGCCATTCGCCTGCTGGTCTCCTCCCTGGGACAGCAGCACGGGCTACCTGGGGGGCACAGGTAGCAAGCAGCTGCAAGAACACCACCAGAAAAGGAAATATTTTTATTATTTCTCCCTTTCTTTTTTGCCATTAAGTCAGGATAAGAGAAATTCCTGCAAGACATGATCAGTAGCATGATAAAGAAATTACCCTGCAATGCACTGTGATAAATTTAATCCCTATTTGCTTCGATGAAATAATGATAAATAAAGCATTTATGGAAGAGGAACAGGTCAGTGTGATGTTTGTTGTGCTACCTACAGCACAATAATGTAACTGGAGGCACTTGTAACTTGGCCATCTCTGACAAGCCAGTGACCCATCTTCCAGCTTGAGATGATGTTTGGACCTGACGCAACGACAGTTTCTTTTTTCTGCTTCTGTCAAAGCCCCTGGCAAAACTATTAATTTTGATGATCACTCTGGATATAAAGAAAAGCTGAGGAACCATCAATTCCAGCACTGAAGTCTAAGGTGCCTCTAATTATATGGAGCAATCCATGCAACAGCAGACTCACAACAGCCCCTCCAGTTTTACGGAGATGCCCAGCAGGACACAACACATGACCAGACTGAAAATCCAGTTTCCATACCCCTGGAGACCATTTCTTAAGCTAGGATTTCCATCTGTAACTTAGATGTACATTACTACACAATTAATTCCATGAGTGATATTTTATAAAGCAAGAGTTGTTTGGGTTTTTTTGGCTTTTCAAATTAATTTTAATGACAACAAAAAGGACACTTTCATCCTATCACTTCCAGAGTCATCAGAGACAGATTAAAATGGTATTTCATCATCTGGTCTCTTCTGATGCTGGTGAGGTATGTGCACATGAATGCCTTCCTGTCTACAACCATATACTCGGAAAAGGCTATGCAGCTATTCTGAATTTATCCAAAATGACCACCTTTGAAGATAACAGCAAATCAAAAAATACTGGAGATGAGCATGGCCGGGAATCTCTGGCTTGTCTTTTTCCACCTTCAAATTTGCAAAGGGGGAAAGGTTCACGCCTACAGGTGTGAACCTGTGCCACCAAACAGGCTCAGCCCAGGTCCCCTCCTGCTGCTGAACATCTCCCCGGGGGGACAGGCTTGTCTCAGGCAGCCCCACACTTTCTGGACAAGCTTTGAGAAACAATGAGCTGATCCAAAACCTGGCCCCGAGCATGGCCAGGCATCACAGCTCACACCACCACCATTTACTGGGGGCTGCGTTACCGTGCAGGGAAGAAAATCACACACGGCTCCAAAAAACGCCACCGATCCCATCCCACCACTGCTTCCCATGCTTGCAGGAGCCTGCTGTGCTAGGACTCCAGCCACACAGTGTATGAACCATACATGGGCTACACATGAAGACACTTGAAGGTTCACCCCCAAATACTGAGGGTTAAAGGGACACCACATAGACGTAAGCATCCATTAAGGTATGCACATGAATTTCAGTACACAAGCAATTCTCTACACTCAAAATGGGAATAATTTTCATAATATGCTTAATTATCTCCCCATAGTTATGACATATACCACTTGAGATAAGCTCTCCTCA